ACCATCGATATCGCACGTGCCTTCCGCGACCTGCAGTGTCTTCTCACAATGAACACTTGCATTTAAAAAGAAAGAACTGTTTGTTAAAAGCGAATTGTTTTTTAAGATTTCTTCACGATTTCTTTCTCATTTGTGTTACTCACGTGGAAGATTTCAAGGAAATAAAGGTGTAATGATGCAGAGCATTATAATTCTATAATAGCATACTCCTTATCGGATCTAAGCGACATATTTTTATATAGTAACACGTATAATGTCACTTAAAAGGACAAAAGGATACATTACTGGTATATACTTATATACAGGAACACAATATCACTTAAAGGAACTTAGCGACACAGTATATACTTATGTAAAGTAACACCATATCACTTAACAGGACTTAGACACATTATATTGTAAAATAAAGTAACACCATAACACCATATTACTTAAAAGGACATAGAAACACATTATTTACTTATATAAAGTAACACTATGTCATTTAAAGGAACTTAGCGACACATTATAGACTGATATAAAGAAACATTATATCACTGAACGGGACATACATATAAAAAGTAACACAATATCATTTAAAGGAACTTAGCGACACATTATAGACTGATATAAAGTAGCACTATGTCATTTAAAGGAACTTAGCGACACATTATAGACTGATATAAAGAAACATTATATCACTGAACAGGACATAAAGACACATTATATACATATAAAAAGTAACACAATATCATTTAAAGGAATTTAGCGACACATTATAGACTGATATAAAGTAACACTATGTCATTTAAAGGAACTTAGCGACACTTTCTATACTTATATAAAGAAACATTAAATCACTGAACGGGACATCAAGACACATTATATACATATAAAAAGTAACACAATATCATTTAAAGGAACTTATCGACACATTATGTACTTATGTAAAGAAACAATATATCCCTTGACAAAGGGACCATTCGGTCTTGAAACGATGCGACACGTTTAACACGTACATTGATTGTGTAAAAGGTAAAACTTTGATATCAGATATTTCCAAACTGATGAATCTTATTGAAGATAACAACATACCACTTACATAAAGATATTAGTAAAATACCTATTCAAAGTGCCTATGTTTTTGACAAGGTTGATGATATATACTTGACCCATCCGCTTTTTAGGCAATGGTAGCGAAGCATATATATGAAACGTCAATTTTTTTATTCAAATCTTCGAAAAGGAATATACTGAAAACAAAAGCTGTTTAACATATTAAATAGATACAAAACTTCAGAAAATTGGTATTATAAAAATACTTCAGAAACTTAGTAAGAATGTTTTCTTATATTGATCTTAAGCTTGGGTATACTATTATTTTCATGTAAAATTCGCCTTTTCATACCACTTCAAATGTAATGGCTATCTGCTATCGAGCTCTAATATCCTGAGGCCCAATGTTGTGCTTTTTGTTAGTAAGCATCGCTTAACTCTACAGCAGGTAGATGAGAAGTCATCTGTTGCAAGAATCCATAGGAATTTGTTGATTTGCCTTCATGTAGCCCCGACTTTTCCCCAATCGAAAACTTGTGGGTTGACCAAGAAAGAAGAGTTTGGAATCGCGGTAACCCACCAAATAAGCTCGCCAAGTTAGCCAATATACTTATCGAGGAAAGATATACCATTCCTAAATGGACAGTCAACGCCCTTATGAACTCTTTGCAGCCCAGAATTAGAGATGTCGTATCTGTTCAAGGAGGACACATATTATATTAAGGAACGGTTTCACGACTGCCGCCATTTTAACTTTGTGAGGGTCTGATGAAGTCCCCGTTTGTTAAAAATCCCCAAAATGGTGTAGATGGTTAGTGGTTAGATCAATATATATTTATTACATAAAAAATAAGCATTTAGAATGTTCACTTCAAAAGATTTCAAAACATTATTTCATTTCTTGCGATTACCCATTTAGTTTGATTTTTGCGAATGTACAATATGAAATATAGAGAAATGAGTAGTAAACAAATATTTATTAAATCTAAAAAAGAGCTCAAGTTAAGACAAACATTAAATTAGCCCTGGTCATAATTGACACGAATGATATATGTAGGAAGTGGTGTAAGGATAATCCGTTGTAGCGGTGCGGACGTCGGAGAAGATATTTGTACGCACAGCCCTGAATTATTCTAGAGTATTAAATATGTTTTCACTTTTCAGCAGTCCAATTATTTAACAGATGTTTGTTTGATTAACATAGCATTCTGCCAGATGAATATGTGACAGTTGTTATTCTACATGAATAAAAAAATGTACTAAAGTTGTAAACCTGGTAAATGGTTGGTTCCTTATTTTGTTGGCATACATACTATTAAAGAAAGCTTAAGTTGTGCAGTATCTCACAATACTAGAAATAGTATATTATCATAGCAATATGTTACAAGCCTCCTAGAAAGACCTGACAATACAAACCTAGTACAGGACATACATAATAAAGACCGTTACACCTCAAGTTTTCTGGCATCTATGTCAAAAACATAAATATGTACCAGAAAATATTTTTTAATGCAATAATCATTCATCTAGTAATTCATGCCAACCTGCCTGTCTTTGTTAGAAATTTAGTGTAATTCATGCCAACCTGCCTGTCTTGTTAGAAATTTAGTGTAATCCATGCCAACCTGCCTGTCTTGTTAGAAATTTAGTGTAATTCATGCCAACCTGCCTATCTTGTTAGAAATTTAGTGTAATTCTTGTTTTCTTGTACATGCATCTTTCTACCTTATGGTAGCAAAGTATTAGTGATTTAAAAACAGACATAAATCTGGTGTAACCTACAATAATACACATCCTGTTTAAACAATAGCATCACACGCCTTGGTAGCACACGAAATACATAACGATAGTGTTCAAATTTAAAACAAATTGTGTATCGCCTATGTTAATTTGTTTTAACTACATATCTCTAAAGTTAACATTGACAGCCGTTTTGATAACATCAAGTATGCGTTACACATTTGTTCTCACCTGTTCTATATGTGCTGATATGAGCATAATCATAATCGTCTTACCTGTCATAAGATGTATCTTTTGTAGATTGTTGTCTTTTTGGGGTTACGCTTGAAACATTTTAAGCATATTTATGCTCCTTTGACGACAAGACACTTTTCTCTTAACTTTACAGTTTCGGCAGCTTACCAAATATGTAAGATGTTCAAAATTGAATTTCAATTATATTTGTTTTTTGTTTGTGTAAGCTAAGTGAAATGCCAAGGAGAGAAAATAACTTCTGCGGAAATACTATCAAATATATATGATAGAAACCTTAACCAAAGAAATGGAAACAATTAATAAGATAGCAATGGTGTCTGGCAAGATAACAATATGAAAATAGCGAAGAGGAAATTTTAACAAAGAAAACATTTTCATAGAGATTATTGAATGATACAAAAGGAGTGTACCAGGTGTTTCGGATCCACAAGGCACACTAGTGATTGTGATAAAAAAAAAAGTCTAAAATAAAATACAATCTTAAACTGCTTTATTTTTCTATATTCCTGCTTAGGTTTGGTCAAATACACATCTATTTTTTCAATTATATTATAAATAGATATTTTTTTTGTGGACGTTATTGTTTCATACAAAAACAAATGAAATGAAATTAGAAAAAAGAAGACCAACTTAAACTTGTGTTTAAAGAAAAGTCACTCTTTTATCATTAAAGGGCAAATCTCTTCCGGTGCGTGTTAAATCTTTCTTTTTTTTGGATTGGCGTCACCTTATAATATATTCCTGCTTAGGTATACACATNAAAAAACCTTTTTTTTTTTTTTTTTTTTTTTTTTAATTCATTTTTTTGTGAAGAAGTTTGACGTTATTATTACATAAAAACTAATTTAGAATAAAATTTAAAAAAGAATACCATCTTAAACTTGTGTTTAAAGGAAAGTAACGCTTTTATCATTAAAGGGCAATATCTCTCCCGGTGTGTTTTAAGTCTATTTTTTTATCTTGAACTGGCGCTCCTCTTTTATTTTATTCCTGCTAAGGTTTCGGGCAGATTAACTTTTACGTTACTTTTATTTTATATTGATTTTTTTTTTTGTGTGGAGAAGTCAAACGTTATTGTTACATTAAAACGGTATGATAGCAGGTAGCAGTTTGGAGGAAATCGCTATTTGATTTTTCGCTCGTGTATAATGTCTTGTCGAGTAATAGTTCTTTGATGTTGTAAGACTTAATCAACTGTTAAATGCCGCTATTAGTTAATAAGCCACTCTAGTAATGTTACAAATGTAGATTGATTGCCCTCTCCAATTAGAGTAGTGCCATCATGTCAGTAGTTAGTGTGTATTCAAAATAATGAACATATGTGCATGTGTGAGTGTTTTATCGGGAAATATGTATCGAGGGTAAAATAAGTTTGTAAAAATATAAAAACAAAATCGTAATTATCTCCATCTCACTGCCACGAAACAAGGTAAGGATATCCCCATATTTAAAGTAAAAAAAAAATCTCACACGACATCATTCTGAAAACATTACCATGTTGTTATCACATTTATGCGCAGTGCATTTGGTTGGTTAACCATTAAACATATGTTTACGGTAGGAACGCTGGGGAGAAAAACAATTAACCACTTCTGTGTGAAGCCTACAGGGACATCTCGACCATTTAGATATACGTTTTGGAAGTATATATCTATTGACTTAATGTACACACCACTTGTCAATCAGCACATGATCCACATGCAGTAACACATGAGGCCAGGATTCTGAAATTTGTGACCGAATCGGTACTAGTTTGACAGAATCATGACATGGGTAGGTTACCAGGATCAACCATTGATCCAGTGGTGTTTGAAACTGCGTAGTTTGTCATGCTTTGGTCTAAAGTATGCTGACGCAGCAAAAGGGAACGCTGCCAGTCTAGGCACTGGGCCAATAGACAGTAATATACAAGTTATAAGACCAATTCAGAAAATTAATCAAATGTACTGGTAGTTTACGATTTTTGTATTTTACTTTGACATTAGTCGTTGTTTGGCCCTTAGTTTATCCACAAACGCAATTCCTTTAATATGTAAAAGCTTACATTGTTCTCTTGTGACCACGAATGGCTTGTTCCATGCGCTGCTTGGAAATGAAATATCATGTTTGCCGTTATGATCGGTTATTGCCGATAAACAGAATCTGTCATACATCACTCTGATTCCCTTAAAGTAGGCCACCTCCTCATGGAAATCTGGCAACTGTCGTTGTATCTTTTCCCTAAGTTTTTCCAAAAAATAGTTATAAATAATGTAATCAATACGTGCCCAGTTTTTATATAGCTCTTCCTCCACTTGTCCCAGTTGTAGTCGAGGATCAGACCTTCGTTTGCTATTAAGCTTACCGTATAAAACATGACGGAGATCCCAGTTTAAGAGTCGTCTCAATAAAATGATTGATTCGTCAAACAAGTCCGTCACAATCACCAAAGAAACGTCCCTATCTAGTTTAAGTAAATACTTCTGAATCTCATTCTGATCGTTCGTCCAGAATAGTTCATCTGGAAAGCCGAAGTCGTACGCCATCCTGTTATATGTTGACGGGATATGACCTCCACTTTGCATATACTTGTCATTATGTAAAAGGTATTCCAAAACTGGTTTCCTCCCTGATATGTTAACCACATACTTTTGACGATAAAACTGCAAATTGGATTGGAAATGTTGAAAAGGTTCTCGAACTATTCCTATATATGTAGTATCGTTAGGAAGAACTTTACCAAAAGCCTCTCTGTTGAATCTTGCGTGCGAACAGAAAATGTCATAGGTCCTATTTTTCGGTGGTGGAAGGACATTATTTGGTGTTAATGAAGAACGAATGCTGACAGTCGATCCACTTTTTGGAAGCGCAAACACGAGATCCTTTTCATATCCGTAGCGTAGGAATAAATTCTGGACAGTGGAACTGGCGGCCTTGTGAATCTTGATGAAAGCTATATGACGGACTTCGATGCCGTTAGTGATATTCTTCTTTTCTTTTTTAACCCGAATCGGCTCCACCTGAAACACTTTCGGTGCATGTTTGGGTGGCATTAATGCGCTTATAGTGTCTGAGTGGCCTCCAAAACTGAAAAGGGTCACCAAAGCAACACAGATGAACCCAGACAGCATCCTGTAAATACAGCAATGATTACAGAATTGTATTGTTTACGCGACGTTTGCAAACAAATAATAGCATTTAAATGGAAATCATACTTACGCTGTATCTTTCGTTGTAATTTACATCGTTGTAAGCTTTTTAGCTTTTGGAGATGTCTTGATTGTATTTCATTTACTTATTTATAATGTACATCCGGTTGCGCATAAAATGATAAAAGTCCATTATTTACACACTGATGAGTTGTGGCGGTATATAGGTCATGTTGCTCACACATAATACTTGACAAAAACAGTTCTCTCTTATGAAATGATTGCCTCTAAAACATTTTCATTGTATTTAACTTACAGAAAACTATCAAAATACATTAAATATCGATCTTTGGCCATTATGATATTGGTTTAGTCTTTTGCTAGGTCGTTAATACACTATAGATACAATATATGCCTTTGGAAAGCTGCGGAAACAAAACAGTTAAACAGGTCACCAATGTTAAAAATTGTGACGCGAAGGGGGAACACCAACAACAACGAAAAATAATAATTCTAAAATCATATCAAAGTCTCATTTCCTACGAAACTCCCACTCAGAAATCTTAAACCGAAACAAATTTGAAAAGAAGTGTTTGAAATAGTTTAAAGATGAAGTTATTAAATAAACTTACCCTAGCAGGTTTTGACGCTTCATCATAGCTGAATTCCAACCGATCCCTACTGCAATGTCGATGGATTACAGACTCAAACGATCAGTGTTACCTGTGTAATATATGATTTACGCGATATCTATCTCACGATCCTGCGACATTTTAAGGTTTTATATTAACATAACTAAATCTTAGATACATTCTTTGTCACGGTTTAGTGTATTGGGTTTCCTAATTGTATTAATTAGTAGTTAATTGTTTAAATTAGGAATTATTTGTATTAATTAGTAATTAATTGTATTATTAATTAGTCTACCCTCTATGTGGTCCCAATTAACAAAATCAATCTGATTTCTTTTCAACAATACCCAGGGAAGGATAGATTAGAATAAATGTTTTAAGGGAACACATAGTTTTAGCAAGTAGCACAAATATCAGCACACAGTTATTTTCAAAATTGAAGGGTTACGATCTTGGTATAAGCTTTTCTACACCTTTGGAATAGGTTATGAAAAAATGACGTCTCTGACGTCGCTTTGAGGAAGATACAGGTAGACTAGTTTAATCTTTTGATGTACCGGTACCGGTAAAAGTGGCCGCATTTGAAGTCGGATAATGCTCATCTGTAATCTTCAAATGGCATGTTTTTAGCCAAGCAACTGGCAAGTTTTTCTATTCCTGATACTAATTAAATAGCTTACATGATACCTTCAATTTCGTCCTAATATTTTCATAGTGTGAAGGAAGGATTTGTGTACTGAGAGAGAAACAGTTGGATATCGAAGATGAAATATTTAGTAGTAAGGGATAGATGCCTAAAAAGCATGACTTAATAACTGTAAAACGTGAAGATATGTACAGGGAAATAATGATTTCGTGAGTGCATCGATACTATTAGTAACTAAATGATATTGCACGTGGAGTTTGTGTGGCGGCGGCGATGGTGTACATGTACCTATATATCAGTCACAGAACCCTCCTCAATATATTTGTTGAAACATTGTTGGCGATCGAGAACACATAACACACACGATCAAAAATGTATTGAATACATTAGCATACAATTACATTAATTAATTTACTTTAAAATGTGGATAGATATCTTAATGATTTATTCTATATGGAAATCTGTATTTTTTATGTTATTCAACTGAATTAATCAAATCAAATATCCTCATTTAAATCCTATTTAAAATTCAATGTAAATTATTGTCTTTTTTTCGTAATTCTTGCCTGTAATATGCCTATCGAACATAATTACATTTTTATCTGAAAACCAAATCTGAATTTGCTCAAAAGGTTTCACAGAATATATAAAAAAAACATTTATCTTAGCATAGAGGTTCTTATTCAGATTTAAAATAAGTGATTCATTTTCAAGTTTTTTAAAGAAGATACTACTTGTCGAATAAATATTCGTGCTCTTTTTTTCGAAATATTGTTTTATATAATTTAGTATATAATTTTTAACATATAGTTCAGGCATCTGCAATAAAAATCTGAAAATGGGAATCTAAGGATGAAAAAGTCAGAGGCGTCAATATTCATTTCGTTTTAAGATAGGGTCACCCAACCTTGTTCCTCTTTTGGGAGGAATGTGGGGTGTGAACGGTTATTGGATCGCTGTGAACTGCATTTCCATCCCTTACTTACTTACTTCTTGTTAAACTGATTCTGAGGCAATATCTCTAGAAGCTAAAGAACTATTTTTTTATAGTTGACTATTACATAGTACAGGATAAATAGTACAGAGGCAAAGTGTTCGTTATATATCCAGATTATAGATAGCATTTCACTATGTTGTTCGTTTATATTATGGTTGATCATTCTATGAAATTAAAATATGACAAATGTCTTGAGAAAAACGTTTCTTCATTCAGGAAAGACGTCAGATGTCAATCTATAGGTATCTTCTTTTGATTCAACCATACTTTCATATAAATGTTTAAATCATGTTATTCTTACTTTTTCCGATTCTATGGACAGCATTGCATCAAATCTATGCGCGACTTACCCGGATTTACTCTATATTTCATGCATTTCTATCTTATTTTTATTGAATTTTCCTGGAGCCAACTGTTTTGCCACTGAAAGGAAATTGGACACCCTGAAAGAGAATTAGTTAATGACGATATGTTCAAAGTATTTCAAAGAACAAAATGGCGTAGTAAAATCTATTTCATCTGAATAACTTGTCAAACTTCAATAACCAGTCAACACAAATGTATGAAAATACTCTAACACATTATATAGAAACGTATCTTTCAGTTTGCAAAATTTTATTTCAATAGGGCTATCAAAAGTCCCGAAAAATCCAATTACAAATTGTAAAAATGCCTGAAACTTATAATAAATTTGGGGAAGTCGCGAATCCTTGTGGAACGATGCTGTGGTGTATCAATATTTGTCACGCAATTCAGTTAAAAGCAGTTTTTTTTTATGTTATCCTGTATACAAGCCTTCAGCTAAGCTATTGCTTAAACATGCAGTTTGATCGTAATCTGAGCACTGGCAGGTCACTGGCAAAAATGGATGGCTGGTTCGAATCCTGCTCGATTCCACTATTATCGAATATTTGTATTCTGTTTAGGGATGAGGTAGCATCTTTAAAAATAATAACTAATTTTGATTTTGCTTAAATATGTAATATGATTGTAATCTGAGCAAGAAGAAATTGTTTTTTATTTATATTATAAGTTTCTGTTGTTTATATAATAATATGCAATTAACATTATGAAAGGTTCTTGTTTAACAAGAACAACCAATAAGAGTTTCTATGTGGCATTTCTATGACTAGTACGGTATGTACACTGTCACTTTCATCAGCCAAATGACCAGTGAAGCGTATGCACTCAAAGTTGTCCACAAAATCGATGTCGATTCGGCTACGCTGTAAGCTTATGTACAATAGCTGGTATATATGTACCGAAATTACTCGATTCAGCTACATTTTGTTTAAAACTACCATTTTAACGCTTGAAATATTTTTTGTGTTAGACAAGTCTTACATGCCATATCTTTAATAATTAATTATTAATTATCTCGTTAATGCACTTGATAACAGTGTATTATGCATGGTCCGAACAGAAAACATAACATAGCATCAAATCATATTTTAAGACTTTTAGATCATTCATCGTTGAATATTGTCATCCGCAAATTACCTTATTATTTCGAGACAAAAATTTACAAATTGTAAAACCATTGCAGAAAATGAACGAGATTCTTACAAAAAGAAGAGAGAAGATTTTGTGCTTTACTTTGACATCAGTTCCTGTTTGGTTCTTAATTTATTAAAAAAAAAAATGGAATTTCATTAATATATAGTAGTTTACATTGCTCGCCTGTGATCATGAATGGCTTATTCCATTCGCTGTCTGGAAACAAAATACTATGTTTGTCTTTATGATCGGTCATTGTCGATAAACAAAAGCTGTCGTACGTCACTCTCATTTTTCCTGAAGTAAGCAACCTCTTCGTGGTAATCCGGCGGTTGTCGTTGTTTGTTTTCATTTATTTTTTTCAAAAAAAAGGTGTAAAGGGTGTAATCTATACGTGCCCAGTTTTTATATAGCTGTTCCTCCTCTTCTCTAAGTTGTAACCGAGGATCAGTTCTTTTCTTGATGTTAAGTTTTCCGTATTAAACATGTCGGAGTTCCCAGTTTAAAAGGCGACGTAATATCACTATAGATTCGTCAAATAACTCTGTCACAATCACCAAAGCAATGTTCCTTGTATGTATTTTGGTATATTGTATAAATTCAGTTATGTAGCTTTCCTTGTATGTATTTTGGTATATTGCATACAGTTAGTTATGTAGCTTTCCTTGTATGTATTTAAAAAAAACATGAAACCATAACATATTTGACGTTACTAAGCATTTTAAATATCTCGTTTAAAAATGAAGATATGAATAAAATTACCTTCGTATTCTTTGAAGCTTCATAGTAGCTAAATTCCCGGAACGTAATGATTAATTCATTATATACATTCAATATAATTAGCACAAAGTTCATCTCATCCGCTTGACGTGACTTAGGCCTACTGTTTGATTGTTTCGTATGGGACTATGTTGGACAGCGGCCATGTTTACAGGCTAAATGTTATGCTTTAGTTAGTGATGGTTTGGTTGAAGCAGTTCTTCTTTTTCATGTTTAAATCACTTGTTCCCTCAGCACTAAATGGGTTGCTAGGCTAAGCTTTAACAATGTAGTGACTTTTTCATGTTTAAATCATTTGCTCCCTCAGCACTAAAGGGGTTGCTAGGCTAATCTTTAACAATCTAGTGACTTT